CCCCTTTCGTTTTTTTTCATTTTTGGCGAAAAATTAAGTTTCTCCAATCTTCTCAAAACTCTGGATTATGATAGAGGGCCACGAGACTTTGACCTGAGTGCAAAAATGGAGGCTCTAGACCCTTCCAGAGCTGAGATATCGAAATTCAAAATTTCGACCCAAAAAAAAAACGACAGTGTTAACCCCTTTGTTTTTTTTTCATTTTTGGGCGAAAAATTAAGTTTCTCCAATCTTCTCAAAACTCTGGATTATGATAGAGGGCCACGAGACTTTGACCTGAGTGCAAAAATGGAGGCTCTAGACCTTCCAGAGCTGAGATATCGAAATTCAAAATTTTCGACCCGAAAAAAAAACGACAGTGTTACCCCTTTTCGTTTTTTTTCATTTTTGGGCGAAAAATTAAGTTTCTCCAATCTTCTCAAAACTCTGGATTATGATAGAGGGCTGTGAGACTTTGACCTGAGTGCAAAAATGGAGGCTCTAGACCCTTCCAGAGCTGAGATATCAAAATTCAAAATTTCGACCGCGAAAAAAAAAACGACAGTGTTACCTTTCGTTTTTTTTCATTTTTGGGCGAAAAATTAAGTTTCTCCAATCTTCTCAAAACTCTGGATTATGATAGAGGGCTGTGAGACTTTGACCTGAGTGCAAAAATGGAGGCTCTAGACCCTTCCAGAGCTGAGATATCAAAATTCAAAATTTCGACCCGAAAAAAAAAACGACAGTGTTACCCCTTTCGTTTTTTTTTCATTTTTGGCGAAAAATTAAGTTTCTCCAATCTTCTCAAAACTCTGGATTATGATAGAGGGCGTGAGACTTTGACCTGAGTGCAAAAATGGAGGCTCTAGACCCTTCCAGAGCTGAGATATCGAAATTCAAAATTTCGACCCGAAAAAAAAACGACAGTGTTACCCCTTTCGTTTTTTTTCATTTTTGGGCGAAAAATTAAGTTTCTCCAATCTTCTCAAAACTCTGGATTATGATAGAGGGCCACGAGACTTTGACCTGAGTGCAAAAATGGAGGCTCTAGACCCTTCCAGAGCTGAGATATCAAAATTCAAAATTTCGACCCGAAAAAAAAAACGACAGTGTTACCCTTTTTTTTTTCATTTTTGGGCGAAAAATTAAGTTTCTCCAATCTTCTCAAAACTCTGGATTATGATAGAGGGCTGTGAGACTTTGACCTGAGTGCAAAAATGGAGGCTCTAGACCCTTCCAGAGCTGAGATATCAAATTCAAAATTTCGACCCGAAAAAAAAACGACAGTGTTACCCCTTTCGTTTTTTTTCATTTTTGGGAAAAATTAAGTTTCTCCAATCTTCTCAAAACTCTGGATTATGATAGAGGGCTGTGAGACTTTGACCTGAGTGCAAAAATGGAGGCTCTAGACCCTTCCAGAGCTGAGATATCAAAATTCAAAATTTCGACCCGAAAAAAAACGACAGTGTTACCCTTTCGTTTTTTTTCGTTTTTGGGCGAAAAATTAAGTATCTCCAATCTTCTCAAAACTCTGGATTATGATAGAGGGCTGTGAGACTTTGACCTGAGTGCAAAAATGGAGGCTCTAGACCTTTCCAGAGCTGAGATATCGAAATTCAAAATTTCGACCCGAAAAAAAACGACAGTGTTACCCCTTTCGTTTTTTTTTCATTTTTGGGCGAAAAATTAAGTTTCTCCAATCTTCTCAAAACTCTGGATTGATGAGAGAGGCCTGAGACTTTGACCTGAGTGCAAAAATGGAGGCTCTAGACCCTTCCAGAGCTGAGATATCAAAATTCAAAATTTCGACCCGAAAAAAAAAACGACAGTGTTACCCTTTCGTTTTTTTCATTTTTGGGCGAAAAATTAAGTTTCTCCAATCTTCTCAAAACTCTGGATTATGATAGAGGGCCACGAGACTTTGACCTGAGTGCAAAAATGGAGGCTCTAGACCCTTCCAGAGCTGAGATATCAAAATTCAAAATTTCGACCCGAAAAAAAAACGACAGTGTTACCCCTTTCGTTTTTTTTCATTTTGGGCGAAAAATTAAGTTTCAATCTTCTCAAAACTCTGGATTATGATAGAGGGCGTGAGACTTTGACCTGAGTGCAAAAATGGAGGCTCTAGACCCTTCCAGAGCTGAGATATCAAACTTCAAAATTTCGACCCGAAAAAAAAAACGACAGTGTTACCCCTTTCGTTTTTTTTCATTTTTGGGCGAAATATTAAGTTTCTCCAATCTTCTCAAAACTCTGGATTATGATAGAGGGCTGTGAGACTTTGACCTGAGTGCAAAATGGAGGCTCTAGACCCTTTCAGAGCTGAGATATCAAAATTCAAAATTTCGACCAGAAAAAAAACGACAGTGTTACCCTTTTTCGTTTTTTTCATTTTGGGCGAAAAATTAAGTTTCCCCAATCTTCTCAAAACTCTGGATTATGATAGAGGGCTGTGAGACTTTGACCTGAGTGCAAAAATGGAGGCTCTAGACCCTTCCAGAGCTGAGATATCAAAATTCAAAATTTCGACCCGAAAAAAAAACGACAGTGTTACCCCTTTCGTTTTTTTTCATTTTTGGGCGAAAAATTAAGTTTCTCCAATCTTCTCAAAACTCTGGATTATGATAGAGGGCTGTGAGACTTTGACCTGAGTGCAAAAATGGAGGCTCTAGACCCTTCCAGAGCTGAGATATCAAAATTCAAAATTTCGACCGCGAAAAAAAACGACAGTGTTACCCTTTCGTTTTTT